GAGCTGTTTATGTGTCCTCAAATAGAGAAGTAAAATTTCAAACGATATGTATGTATGAAGCTATTTTATCTTGTTGCTGAAAGTGCAAGTAGTTCATTGAATTAATTAAAGGAAAAATAAATCAGCCCAATTCCTTTAGTAACATTGTTACAATTTTCATCTCACTGTATTTATTAATATCTTGGTGATGGTAGTGTGCTGCTGGAGCTGTGGAAAGTAGCAGCCTCTTGTTTCTCCTTTCTTTGCTTGGAAGAAAGGAGGCAAAACTGATACAAAAAAGAGAGTACCACTGGGTTTGGAGCTGGGAAGAAGGAAGTGAGTGGTTTTGTTTGATTCAAATAAATATACTATTTTCAGTGTTCCTAAATAAAAATTGAAGGCTTCTTTCAGAGCCTGAGTTGATTCTGGTTATCAGCCTTAGGCACCTTTTTTTTTTTTTAATTTTGACTGTTACTTTCCTCTAACTATGGTAGTGTCCCTTTGTGCCTAGTGCTTTATAAGCACAAAGGGAAAAGGCAGGCTAGGTCCCAAAGAGATTGTTATTTAAGTCAAGACAGGACACAGAAAATGGATACATATAAGTGGATTGAAAATTAACCAAATAGAGGCATATAATGTAGCAGAACTTAAGAGTTATTGGTGTTAGCTTGTTGGAGATTTTGAAGGAGGAATCATAAAGAAGGAGGATTTTGAGAATGATACTGAGTCAGGCTTGCAGAGATTTTGCAAGGTGATCCTTTCAGCTAGAAGGAACTGCTCAGGAGAAGACACAGCATTTAAGAGTTTCATGGTGACAGATAAAATGGGGACAGACTGTGATGAAGGCTTTAGCTTATTTTTTTGCTAGGCTGATTTTATGAATATTTGCAACAGAATAGAGTAGATGATACCCAAAATACAACACAATTTTGAGGGGGGGCGGGGGGAGGGTCTGTATGTTTGTATGCTCTGCATTTTACTGTATTTTTACCATTGCACCAGCTCACTTCTTGCAGTTTCTTTTGCCTTAAAATACCAACAGTTCCTAGCTAATCTTGAGATTGGTCTGAATATTAGGCTCCTCTTTTCTGAGACTGGTATACTATATTCTTTTTCCTCAGATAGTGATAGTAACACTGTTTGTGTGATAAGCTGATCATTTTTGCTTTCCTTGTATAGGAGATTTCATCCTAGGTAATGATTATGAGAGCTTCCATCTGTTTTATGTTTTTACCTTTGATTGTAAATCTCTTTTCCTTTAAGAAGGTGGAAACATCAGAGGGTAGCTGTGAAGTGTCTTCCATGAGTGAGGATGATCAAATATTTAAGTCTTCTTTTCCTCCAAAATTTACTCCAAATCTAAGAGCATAAATGGTGATGGTGATGTGAAGTACTAGGATTTTACAAGTTTCTTAAATCTTGTGTAGCTAGAGCCTCCCAGGGGTTGAGAGATCAGAAGAATGGATGAGTTGCAGAGACTGCAGCACTGCAACACTTTTAGCAATTTCTGAAAACTGCAGATGAAAAAATGTTATATTCATCTCAAGTTTACTTGGCTAAGTCCATTGGGTGTTTTTGTTTGCAGTACAAAAGTCTGGCTGGTATCACTCTCTTCCAGTAACAGTTGTTACAGATTTGAACTTTTCCCACAAGACCCATTTCCAGAATTAGATTCGGATTGAGAAGTGCTGTACAGTTGTTACTGTCATAAAAACAATCTGCTATAGCTTGACTGTGGCACCAAAACCAAAAATTAAGGAAATAAGAAAATGTTGTTGTAATTTCTTTAAGAAAATTAGCTGACTTTTTATAGAGTTTGAGCTTCTTGTTACTGGTGTAATAAGCAAGAACTCTGGCTTTCCTTGGGAAGGATACAATTTTTACTGTAAAATAGCTGACATTCCCTGTAACAGCAGATGCTTGGGATGTACATCCTACAGAGCATGTGTTTCTTTGTAATCCCACGAGGTGGCTGCTATCATCATTTATTTTACCACATGGCAGATTTTCAGATTTGGATCAATATCACTATCATGTTCCCCAGGGCAGTTCTCTTAGTAACTCTTCTTTAAAAAGCTGTTAAAGAAGAGTTGTTTCCCATTCACCAGTGCATCGTTCATGTGCAAGAGTTCTTGGAGAAAGTGCTGAGCTTGTGAGATTGGCAGCAGTAAAAGGTTTTGTAAATAGAGACAGTACTCACAGGTCCACTGATGAGCAATGGAAGGCCACTATACACCATGGTTCCCAGCTTTAGTGAGTAGGCAGTATATCCAATTCATTTTACCACTTTGATAACACTGTTCTAATAAAGAACTTCCACTAAGTTGTTCATGCATTTCGAGATAAAACTCAGTTTCTGCTTTAAATAATGTATTACTCATTCATTACAATTGTATTCAAAGGAAGGGGGAGATTAAAGAGTGCAAAGGTATGAGTTTTACTTTACTTATGGTACTTGAGTGAAATTTTACTATCTCTGATAGTTCAGGCTAGATTTTCTAATCTAGCATTTATACACTGTGAAGTGACAAGACTTGTTACTCTGAAGTATAAAGTCTACAAAGTAAATAAGTGTTGATCAGAAAGGGACTTGTAAAGTTCCTCCATTTAATCTCCTTAAATAAAAATCTAGAAACAAAACCTTTGTTTATGAGTTATTTTTACTGTCCATCAATGATATTCCAAATTACAAATTCAGGAGTTAAACTTCATCTGCAGGAAGGATGTGACTTGTTACTGTTTATCTTACATTCTTTCCTAGCTGGACTGTAATATTATGATTAGTGAATTTTGAAATCCATAATAATGAGCATTTGTGGATGAGGTTTTGTGGTGTGTCTGAATGCCTAGTGGAGTCCCACAAGTGGCTGCCGTCCAGCTGACCGTACACACTCTGCTTCTCAGCATCGGTCTCAATGTAGAGTGTGTTCCTGGTGGCTCAGGATAATGCTGATGACTTCTGAGCTGGGATAAGCAAAGAGGTACTCACTACTGCAGGTACTGGAGCAGGTTTTTAAAGCAGAGTATATCAGTCATGGGGACATGCCCTCATGAGCAGAGCGGCAATCCAGCAGCTTATTGAAGGCCAAATGCAACTCTTAATAGTTTTGTGCGCCATGACCCAGTACCATGCCTACACTTGCTATTACTGCTTCAGTTAAGAGCAAGACTTCCATTTCAGAATCCTTTCCAACTTTAGTCATGGACTAAGATGCCACTGAGCTTGACACTGTATCAATACAGAACGTAAGCATCACTCCTGCCCAAGTAGTTTGCCATCTAGGTGTAAGATAAGAGATAACAAGTAGATAGATGGGAATCATGGGGAAACTCCGAGGCAGTGATTGGCTACCGAAAAGATGGAGACTCCCTTTTTACAAGGAGTCACATGGGAAAGACAAGGGGTAATGGGGACAAATTGCTCCTGGGGAAATTCTAGTTGGACTCCAAAGGAAAATTTTTTTACGATGAGAACAATCAGACATTGGAATAGTCTTTCAAGAGAAGTGGTGGATTCCACAACCTTAGATGGTTTTAAGGCTCGACTTGAGAGGGTGCTGGGCCATCTCATTTAAACTGTATTTCTTCACTTTCAAGGATTGGGCTAGATGAGCCTTGAGGTCCCTTCCAACCCAGTAATCTATGATTCTATGAGTCTGTGATCTGATTTGAAGCTCAATAGTGAGCTATTTGTAGGGAGGTTTACAGAAAGCTCCTCCCACACAACATGAGGGGAGACAGACATGTGTCTTTGGCAATCTGGTGGAGGCTGTTAGAGAATTTTTTTCTGGTAAGAATCATTTTTTCATGCTGAATGAGAGTTAGCAAAGAGTTAATCTTTGAGAATTAGCACAAGTTGGTTACACTTGATGCAGTAGGCCTTTAGAAGTGAAAGGAAACATAGAAAAGATAATAACCTCCTGTAAATTCCAGTTGAAGGTACCTAAAGGATCTTTGTGGTAAATGGATATGAGCTCAACCATTATGTTTTCCATAGAGGAGAAGTCATTGAAGGAACAGATATGAGAAGATCAAAGTCTGTGGAGTAGTTATTTCTGTGTAAAACCCATACATTGAAGATACTGTACAGAAGGAAACTAGAAAATTTAAAGTAAATCTGTAGGCAGGAACTTGAAGAAAGGCTTGGTCTAAGACAGTCACAGGCCAGGGAAACAAGCCAAATGGACATGGCGTCCACTATCATCACAGATGTCTCACAGAGTTCGAAGTAAAAATCAAGAGTTGTGAACACATTATTTTGTGATAGTAGCTAAGCATAACTCTAGGAGAGACAGAGTGAGATTTTAGCTTAGACAGACAGATCTGGGGAAAAAGTTACATGCACCCAAAGCAGTTCTACAGCTTAATGAATTACTATTACTGTGTCAAAATCAAGATCTTGTCCCTGACAGACCACTCCTGCTGAGAAGCAACTAACTCTTGTGACTAATTCTCCCGAAATCAAGAGTGACAGAAAATAGTCTTTAAAAATGCCATAAATTTAAAATGTCACTTGCTTGTGCAAAGTGTATTGAGAGATCAAGCACATGCTATACAGTATGATGTAAACAAGTTAGCTGTGTTCTACAATTTCTCAATGAAACAGCTCCAGATAGTTCTTCCACACATGAAGTGAAAATTGTTACTGATTTGTCAGTTGTGGTGAAATCTTCTATCATTTTTATTTATGTATTTAAACAGATGTAGCCTCTGATACAGTAGCTCACATCAAGTATCACTTGGATAATGTAGTCCTCTTAAATTTAGTGGTGGTTCCCAAGGGTTAAGGTACTATGTTCACCTTAAATCAGGGCAGTGGCAACTCTCTGTTGATTATTAGATGTTGTTGAGAGACATGAGTGTGAAATCAGTTTAAGTTTCCAGAAATGTAGGAATAATTGTAAGTATTTTACTTAATAATGTGGTTACAAACTGCAATACTGATCTAAACAGCATGAAGACTATGTCTGCTCACTGAAATTTTTTTTGTTGTTTTTTTTCCTTAACATTAATTTCTTAAGAAAATTGGCTAAAAAGCGGAAAGAGACATTGAGTAGTACGCGGCAGGAAATGACAGTGATGGTGAATTCAATGGATAAAAGCTACACTGAGCAAGGCACCAACTGTGATGAAGCTTTCTCTTTCATGGACACGCACAATCTAAACGGGAGATGTAAGTTTTTGCTTTTCATTTCTTTTTTACTTTTTGGAAGGTGGAAGAAAGGTGCAAATGGTTTTTAAAATATTCCTCATTACTCAGTCATGGAAAATCCATGGGACCCAGAGTTTCCCACTGTGTAGCACATTACCGTGTGGATTCGAATGAGCAAGACAGTCAGACATCAAGAATAGACTTCTTTAAAAATAATAAGTATAATTGAGCTTTTTTCTGCCCATCCTTTTCTTCTGCAGGAGAGCAAAGACATTACTGAAACAGCTGTAGTTTTTCTCCAATCTCTATTATGTTAAAAATTTTATATCCCTCATGCTGTCCTGAGTCCTTCAAATGCTTCTTCTGCTCACTTCTTTTTTTGTAGGTTAAATTTATTTCTGAATGACCTAACTTAATAATGGTGATCTAATTGTCTTATTATTTCCAATTTGAGATGATGCTCTTTCTGTTGCTTATGCAAAGGAAGAACTCAGTGGAATTATCTGTTCTGCAATTTCATAAGCGATTCTCTAGTATTCTTGGTCTTCTTGCATTTACCCTGAAAATGAATAAAATTTATGATATAAAATTTCCTGTATTATAGTCAAGGATTCACTCTTGTCTGGGGGTTAGCACTAAAGCAAAGAAACAGGGAATACAGTAGGTTTTTATAATTGTTAAAATGAATGGAAGAAGAATGACTGTGTTCAAAATACTTTCTTGGTTTTTGTAGTTCTTAAGGAACCTCAGTTTTTCTGGTACACCATCATTTTTTAACATCTTCAAAATTTGTCAAAGACTGAATTTTGTTTCAAGTACTAACAGTATGCAAGGCCGAACTCCTACTCTTTATTAAAGAGCTTAAGAACTTATCTTTGATGAGCTCAGTTGTACAAACACTCTGTGAGGTTTATACAGTGAGACTTCTCTCAGCAGCATTAGGCTCGGAATTTGTAGCGTTAATTTGCATTTGAGTTACTTTTGAAATTGCTTTGAAATAGATCTTTCAAAATCTGATTTGCCTTTCTGGTGAGAACATAGCATCGCATTTAATGAGATCCTTCCATCATCATGATGATGTGGTGTTACTGAATGGTCACAACAACCAAAGAAGCTGCAATGAGTTCCTGGGACTGTCCTCTTTATGTAAACCACCTTAAATCAATTTGAAATTATTGACATAGCAAGTATTTTATACAAGTGGAGGGCTAGAACCTCTAATAGCCTTTCCATAAGAAATGTGGTCACCAGAAACAGCATCCTGACAGTCTTTAGGAATAATCTTTGTGTGAGGCCTTGTACTCAAGAGATTTTGAACATTCCTACATCTTGTGAAAGGTTATTACCCTGGCTGCATTCTCTGTCTAGCCAGTTCTATTAGCTGCAGCAGCCCTGGCCTCAGCTAATCTCTGTATCTATACCCAAAAGGAATGCTGCTCCATTCTTTCCATCTAGTGATTGAGGAGACATAATCAAATGAAAGTAGTTTTAGATATATTCATTTATAGAATAAGTGATAACTGCCAGCTTTACTTAAGCCAGCTTTCAGGTAGCTCTCTCTTAACAAGAGCTGGCAACTGTATGCCCTAGAAGATCAATCAAAAGAAGGATGGGTAAAAGCCAGCGGGAGTAACCTCACTCCTCCTCCAGTAGATCCTGTCTTCCTCGATTTTACTTTTGTTTCACAAGCTCCTGTTAGTGTGTTTATAGGTATCCAGAATGTGCTTACATTCACTGATCCAACTGGATTTGAGCTGTGTAGACAAGCTACTAAGGCTGCATTTGCAATGAGCTTTGCTTAAAAGCCTTTAATGACTCCTTGGCTGAACATCCTGCAAAATGTCATGATTAACTCTCGCCTGTTGAATCTATCTATGCTTATAATTGTAATTCACGTGATTTTTGTGTTCCAGGGAACTAAATGAACTTAATTTGTTGCATTGGGCTATCCCATAGGTTTTTAAAATGGTTAAATGATTAAATACCAATGCGAGCATTGGTCTGTGTGTCACTCCCTGAAAACTGTTGTTGAACAAAGAGTAATACTCAGGGCATAGTAGTATCTGTGTATGAATCATTGACTTGTCTGAGCACATCAAAAAAAAGCAAGAGGAAAAAATGAACTGCAGCGGAATATTTGCATACAGTATTTAGAGTATTATTAAGTAAATTCAATAATGATCAAAGCTTCTGTCAAAAACACCTGTTGTTATTATGGTGTCTTTATTCAAGCATCAGTATTCAGTATGATCTTGTGATTTAAGAAGTATATTTGTCATCACCAATCAAAATGCTTTCTCTGATGGCATTGCTTTTTTAGAGAATGTATCAAATTCAATGGACTATTTTAGTTAGTAGACACGCCTGGTTTTCCCTAGGTCCCGATTCCAGTGCAACAAACACAACAGGACAGACTCTAAACCAAGTCAGTCACACACGCTGTACCCCTCAGCTTAAACAGCTGTGTATCACTTCGCTGTCTCTAACCAGCATTATTTCTCTTTGCAGCTGTATCTTCACCATCTTCCTTTACAATGAAAACTAACACATTGAGCACAACAGTGCCTAATTCTTATTACCCAGGTAACTGGTTTTTTTCTTGGTTTCCACCCTACATAGACCTTTTCATAACAAAAGCTTATATAATTATGTTATTATACTTCTTACCATAGAAATTTAATATATATATAAGCAACATACTGGTTGTGCACAGTAGCATTCTGAAAGAAAACTCAGAACATTTATCAATCATTTACTGTTCTCTCTCTTTTTACCTTTTCTGCATTGACCTGCTTATGATGTATGACAGATCCATTTGTGCCAACTGCAATTTTAGGTGAGAACATTTCCCTTTATCAAAGTTCATTGCTGAAGTAATTTAGAAAGTCACAGTTCTCCGGGAACAGACAATAGTATCAAAAAGTGGGACTTTTATGCTGAAGGGAGGGGTGGTAGGGTTGGCTACACTGAGAATGCTAAGGACAGTTATGAGGCTTGATTACTACTGTCACCGTGAAAGTCAGGGGAGAAAAGAGAGAAATAATTTTAACAAGTGGATTTGTGAGATGTTTATGCATGTATTTGGAGTGACACAAAAGAATTTGATTATTGCAGCAATTGAAATAGTTTCCTTCATTTTTTTCCGTTTTATCTCAGAACTCAAGGTGTCACTTCTTAAAAATAGCATTTTTTCCTAATTAGACTATTCATGGTACAGAAAATCAGACAAAATACAATTTTGGCCATCCACCAGCTGTCATTTCTTCTCACAATACTGCACTGTTTCTGACATGCTTGTCAAAGTGAAGTTTCAGAGGAGAGTTGGTACTTTGAGCAGCAAAATGATAACATGACACTTAGCATATATAGTTTTTTATGCATCAGGTGTCACAAGAACAAAACAAACCAGTAGAACTGTAGGTTAAAACCATACAGTTAAAGTGTAAAACATTCCCACTGGGAACTTAGGAAAACTCACTATTGTCCAATGTCATGAAGAGTGGTTTCTGCACAGTGATAAAACAAGCATGAGGCACTATTGCATTTTCAGTGCTTATGTAGATCTAACTGCTTTGTGGCTTGTATTCATTTACACCCCCTTCCTATACTAACTTTAAACTAAACAGGGAGATTTTAAAAAAAAATTAATCAAAACATAACAGTGCACTGTAACAAAAATTCAAACTCCAGTTTTAAGCCTATCTATTTGCTCTTTTTACAGTGCTTGGTATTTTTACAAGTATTTTCCGCTCTCTTCTTTTTTTTCTTCAAATCACTGTAAAGGATATAACACCCCTTAAGGATTCCTGCCCTTAAATTTTAAATTAAACAGGCTTAAGTAAAAGTAGAGTAAAGCATATAAGAAGTATAAGTTCAGAAAGGTGATCTTGAAGACTGGTTGTTGTGAAAGAATATTTAGCGCGGTGCCTTTCAGTGTGATAACTTGAGAACGACTTGTGTGGTTTTTATACATTATGTAAATCTGGAAGAAGGTAATGGTAGTGACTGTAACAATGTAATAATCTGCATGCAAATGAAATTTGCAGTGCCTTTTAACTGCCTGAGATGTTAGATTTTTTTGTGTGCTTTAGCATTCATTCAGTGCTTCATCCAGTAGATGTTCTTTCTGACCTTGTGGGTGGGCAAGGAGAAAAGTACTATTATCAGGAGAAAAATTTTGAGATTTCTTATCTGGATTAGTAAGTTTTAGTTAGTGGTTTCTCTGAATTTTTTTTCTGATCCTTTGCTATACAGTAATGATGGCAAAATTGTTAGCTTTTTTTCCCCCAAGAAATAATCTCTAAGCAAGTAATTCAGATATCACACAAACACACACTGGGAAAAAAAAATAATTTTTTGCTTTTACTAGATCTGTAAAATTTTGAATTAGTTAGGTATGTATTTTATGGTCTATTACAGCAACCTCATCCAGTTGTTTCACTGTGGAAAATAAGTGTTTTTGTGACCTTACATGTTAAAAATGCAGTACCCTTTTTGTAACCTTACATGTTAAAAATGCAGTACCCTTTTATGGGTGGTGTTCCATTCAGACTAGGCGTCGCTCTCACAGAAAGTGTTTTTGACTGTCTCTATAGATATAGTATTTTATCTGAGGTAGATCCAATTAGCTATGTTTGCATCGGTAGAGGAATATAGCTATTAACAAAATATGCTGGGTTTTAATTGCAACTCATACGTGCACTTCCTGGCTTCCAGTGTCCAAAGAAGTTGTGTTAGACTGCAGGGTCAAACCTGTAGTTAGAACTAAATGAACTTTTCAGTGCAACCTCCTGGGAAGGGTACACGTCTGGTGAATGATTTAGTTTTCAAAATCTGCTAGAATGGCCGCAACACACCGTTTCCAAATTCATGTATAGCAAGATCTTTGTACTATTCATGCAAATAAGGAACTTCTTATCCAATTGAGAAAAGAAAAAGAAAAAAAAAGACTGATAATTAGTAGAGAACTCTTTAAATGGCATAAAAGGCAACAGTCTGACTTCTCAGTTTCAGATACGATGAAATTTTCTTACGTTTGAGGGGAAACCTTCGTGCTTAGCCTTATAACCCAAGTGAAAGCTTGAGATTTAAAAAAACACTTTACATAACAGTAACTAAATTTATAGTTCCTGAGAATGAGTACAGGTCATGTTTCTCTAGTATCATCAATGTGCATATTTCTGAAATTGGAGAAAGAAAAAGAGCCTCAGCCCAGAAAAGATACTGGACTCGATTTCCAGATACCATCAATGCCATGAGTTCATATAATTTGTAAATAATAATAAGTGTTGTACAGCTCTATGGGAATAAGTGGAGAGTAGAGCAACGGCAGCTGTAGGAGTGTTTAAGCTGGAGAGACTTCCCGTTGCATATGAACACTGCGTCTGGAGGAGTTCACGCTTTGGACAGCAGTGGACTGTTATGCCTGAAAAGCTCACGCTATAGCACTCAAAGGCAAAGCAAAAAACCTCTAGTATATGTGGCTCCTAATGTAATATGTAAACCAAGCACTTTATTTAAAATGACTTAAAATATGACTTCCAAAGAGAGAAAAATAACGTTAATGCAGCTATAATAAATAAGGAAATGGAGAGAGAAAAATTAGTGTAAAACAAAGGAGGTCACGGGAAAGAGATTCATAAGGATGAAAGTGCTGCTTTCGTAGCACAAGACCCTGCTAACAGTCTGAATTACAAGGAATTCTGTAGTTTGCAAAAAAATCCCAAGTTTTCTAACCTGATTCTAAACTTGAAATAAACCACCCAAGAAATCATGATCAACTTCCTACAGTTTTTTTGTCTTTTGTCTCAGCCACCTTGTAGTTTTCAGGTGCCATTTCAACAGCAACAGACCGTACCTACAGTTGTATACCATACTTCATGCCATGCATCCCAAGGTGCTTTGCAGTACAGTTTTATCACATTAGACAAAAGCTGGCAAATTCTATGAATAAAAAATTAGTCCCTTTTCTCTGCATTAAATCAAATTCTCAAACTGACAGGAAAAGTCATTAAATGCCCATACTCATACCCATAAACTTTTCTGTTTTTTTTGGTCCAGGTTTAAATCCACAGTTCTTATTGGCTCTGTGTTTAGTGGGGACCAGTTTCATGTGTCTTAGTATCAGCATGAATTGAAGGAACCTAAAATCATCCTTGAAATATGATTTTTTGAGCTTTGTGGCTTTAACCTAAATTTTCAGTGGTAAAATAAGACCAGAATCTCACCTTTAATGACTTGTGGTAGCGTTTTTGGTGTGTATGTGAGGATCAGGGACCTTTTAATGCAGAATATTTGTGGAACTTTCTACTATAATATATCTAACTTACAAATGGGGAAATATTATTATAAAGCTTCCCTTTTGTACATGTTTTACAAAGTAATTTTTTTTAAATAAGTGTAGTATTTTTTATAAACCTCTTGCTACATTTACTGTGCAGCCAGTGAGCAATAGTTTGAATAGTCAAAGCACCACATCTTAGGGTTTGGGTTAGGTGTTTTCTCATGTCAGTCTGAACAATTTTTAAAAATTCTTTCTAAATAGGAAGAAAGTCAAATTAATTCCTTAGGTAGAGTGCTCTTTCACATTTGTCTATGTACTGCTAAATGTTTTTATCTCAGTTGCATCTGGGTGAATTGACTCACAGTAAGACACCTTGGTTTCAGTACATTTAATTTATATGGTGAAACTGAGATCATTTAAGAAATCACTCTGTAAATACTAAATTACAAACATAAAACTACCTGTAATTATTAATGTAGTACTGTTGCTTATGCCCTGTTTCCTTTTTCTCCTCCTCTTTTTTTCTCCTGATATGTATCTTCTTAAAAGTGCCAATCAATGGTAAGTTGCCCATTTGCCCCATGGAAGAGATGTGGAGGGTTGGGAGAGTGTGTATCTCGTAAAAATTTTAACCAGCCCACTGGGTTCTCTTGTTTGTTGGCTTGCATGTCAGTTGACATATTACATTCCATGCCTAATGTGATGGCTCACGATATACTGTGATCCTAAAGCATGTTCAGCAGCCAGTCAAGGCATTTTTCCTGATCAGATGATCCTTTGCATTTGTCTTGTTGTAGTTTGTCTCCAAATGTTGTATCAGATCTACATTTTCATTGCAGTCCTAGCTTGATGAAACCATAAGCCATTTTATGCATCTTTTTATTTTGCTCACTCCAAACATTTGCTCTAAATTTGCAGTGTAAAATATAGCACTTCAATAAGCTAAGACGAATACAAGTCCAATTTCATTCCGTGGGACTTGTTGAAGTTTCAGAATGAAACTTCTGTGCAGTTCAGAACCAAATGCCTAATTAAAAACCTGTTTGAAATCAGCTAGTGATATTTAAAACCATATTAGAGTTCGGACTGCTCTGCAATGCTTCCATTGTAGAACCATGGACTTTGCGTCATTCCAGTCAGTCTTGTGATTTCCTTGTGTAAAGTGCTCCATGGATTTGCTGTTCTTCTGGTGTAGCCTTCACAGACAGAAGCACTGCTGATGGTGTCAGATTTTCGCCATTCCTCTAGAAATCTGTGTAACTTATATTTCTATTAATAAGTCAAAATGAGCCAGTACATTATGAGATACTCTTTTTCTAGATGAAACCCACACGATGGTCAGTGACACAAGCAGCCTGGTCCAATCCCATACCTACAAGAAGCGAGATCCAGTGGATGTGCCCTACCAGACCGGACAGCTTCATCCAGCCATTCGCGTAGCTGACTTGCTGCAGCACATCACCCAAATGAAGTGTGCAGAAGGCTATGGATTCAAAGAGGAGTATGAAGTAAGTGTCAGGTCTAATGATCTGATTATTATGTCTTCTGCACTGTTGGCTTTATCTATCTGCTACCTGTATGACAGAACAGGAAAAATAATTACTCAACCAAGTCAGCCAGCTGCTGTGTGAGGGAAGATACTGAATGCAAAGGATCATCTCTACACTGAGCAAATTTTCTGACTGTAACCAGCCAGGATGACAAGTGAGACATAAAAACCTTTCTTGGAGATCTGTCTAATTCTCATTGCATAAAGTTCAAAAAAAAAAAACAACACAAAAGAGGTCCACTAGTGTTCTCCCAGAACTTCCCTTGTTTTTCTTTTACTGTTGAAGAATATTGCTTTTTTCCGAAGTTCTGCATCACAGATTGTCTAATCGCAGTTATCCCTTGCTGTATCACTACACACCCTTTTAAAAAGTTCCTCCCCAGCTTTCCTGTAGGCCCCCTTCAGATACCAAAAGGCTGCTCTAAGGTCTCCTTGGAGCCTTCTCTTCTCCAAACTGAACAGCCCCACTCTCCCAGCCTGTCCTTGTAGGGGAGATGCTCCACCCTCCTGATCATCTTCGTGGCCCTCCTCTGGACTCTCTTCAACAGGTCTGTGTCCTTAAACTGAGGGCCCCAGAACTGAACACGGTGCTCCAAGTGGGGTCTCAAGGGAGTGGAGGGAGAGAAACACCTCCCTTGACCTGCTAACCACGCTTCTTTTGATGCAGCCCAGGATACAGTTGGCCTTCTAGGCTGCAAATGTACATTGCCAGCTCATGTTAAGCTTCTTGTCAACCAGCACCCCCAGGTCCTTTTCCACAGGGCTGCTCTCAATCCACTCATCACCGAGCTTTTATTTGTGCTTGGGATTGCCACAGTCCATGTACAGGACCTTGCACTTGGCCTTGTTGAGTTCAGTAAGGTTTGCACAGGCCCACCTCTTAATCCTTTCCAGGTCCCTCTGGATGGCATTCCTTCCCTCCAGCGTGTTGACTGCACCATACAGCTTGGTGTCACCAGGTGTGTGGAGGGTATGCTCAATCCCACTGTCTGTGTCATTGACAAAGGTATTAAATATTCTGGCAAATACTGCAAGAAGGCAGCACATTGCACTGAAGATCCTGTCTTTCTTGTGAAAAGGGTCAGTGAAAAAAGCAAAAAACAAACAGAATTTGTTCTCATGCCCAAAATTAACAGTAGTATTATGCCTGACTTCAGAAGCTTAGTTTTGCTGAAGAGTCTCGGGTATGCACTGATCTTTTTCTATATCTTGTGTTGGAATAACAAAGACTTATCAATATGTCTTGTCTAATGTGAGGGAGGATTTGAAGTCCTTTAAAGTCTGCTTAGGTCCGATGTTTTAATTGTTAAGATTTAAAAATCTATGTCCTTTGTCCGCTTTTAGCTCAGATTTTAAGTTTATTCTTGTGAATGAGTCTCATATACAGAAACACTCTAACAGGGGTTGATAAGACGTCCTCAGTGAATAGAATCATAGAATGTCTTAGGTTGGAAGGGACCTTAGAGATCATCTAATCCAACCTCCCTGCCATAGGCAGGGATGCCCTTAACTAGAACCAGGTGCTCCCTCATCCAACCTGACCTTGAACGTCTCCAGGGAGGGGGCATCCACAACCTCTCTGGGCATTCTATTCTTGCCACCCTCGTACTGAAGAATTTCTTCCTAAGGTCCCATCTAAATCTATTCTCCTTCCATTTAAAGCCATTTCCCCTTGTCCTGTCACTGGACACTCTTGTAAAAAGTCCCTCTCCAGCCTTCCTGTAGGTACCTTTAAGGAACTGGAAGGCAGTTACAAGGTCCCCCCAGAGCCTTCTGCAGCTGGAACATCCCAGCTCCCTCAGCCTGTCCTCGTAGCAGAGGTCCTCTAGCCCCTGGATCATCTTTATGGCCCTCCTCTAAATACTTTCTCACAAGATTATGATTCAGTGGATTTGAACCCAAAAAACAAGTAGCATATTACTTCACGGAGAAATGCATAAGATTGATCCACAGGTTTGGACTGTAAGTTGCCAAAATTGCAATAGGACTGTATGAAAATTTATGAGATAATTTTGATTGATCAGGTAGAAAGATGCACTGCGTATAAACTTGTGGGGTCTGATATGTAGGCAGACTTGAAGCTGTCACCTTTGAAATACTCTATTAACTTTTAATACATTATAGGAACTGTGATCTAAGATGATGTGATTAGATTTTTCTTAAAAAAATATTCCCTGCCACTTGATCTAAGAATCAAATACTGATCACCAGCAGCCCATCCTCCCCATTTCCAGGAGCGGGCTACACCTCACAGAGTTTTTGTCTGCCTCTGTATGTGGTGGTGTCCATTTGTCCAGCTTAGGAACCTGTCCAAATTTCATTGCATCTCCAACCCAATACAAAGGCCTAAATTTCCTTTACTTGGAAACTGAAATGTGAGAAATCAGAGGAACAGTTGTAAATGGGTCTTACTATGATGTAACTCTGACATAGCCAGTGAGAAGCAGAATGATATGTATTCAATTTTAATTCTGTCTTCTCAAATTAGAAGCCAGCAAAAAAGGAATTTCTTCTCATTCATGTGATAAAAAGAGAAGGGAGGAGGACAACCAGCAAAAGTTGTTTAAATTACTTCCACCTTGTAGGACAAGCAACAATTTCTCTTTTGGGCATGCACGAGTGTGCACTGCCCTAGAGGCTCAATATACCAGGCTTAAGTTTGAAGTGTAGGAACTAATGTATTCACTGCTGCAGGTCCTTCAGGATGACTAATACAATTATTAGTACATTACTGAATTTTTACACATGTGCATACCGCTTGCATTTTCCAAGAGAGGATTTTTTTTTTAAATTTGCGCTTTGTCATGCCAACTTCATGTTATAACAGTTGCTTAAATATGTAATTGTTTAAGCTGGTATTTGTAGTATTAGACTTCCAAAGCCCATGCTTCAGGCCACTTCCAAAGTCACTGATGACATTTTTTTCCCCTAAAATGTAGAAAACAATTCGTTCCCAGAAGGAGCTAATCACTTGTCAACTTTCATTTGTGTAGCTGACTTAAACAAGTTTGTTCCTGTGAGGTTTTTATGCCACTGTTATTTAAAAATGATAGAATTGAGAATTCTTGTCTTTGGAAAAGATTTGCTCATCAGCCAAAACCTTTTATACCAGCATTAAGCCTAGAGGAAAGCTACAATTAATTTATAAAAAAAAGCCAACGACTGTAAAATTGAATTTATAATGCAACCAATAACATGGCTTTTTAACTACAGCGGATCAAATGGTGCTGCTGAGAAACAATTTCCAGGAAAATCACTTAATTTTGAGCTTACCAAGCTGGTAAATGGCATCCCATTACAGACAGTAGGTGTAGTCATGACTAATGCCAGTAGATGCAATACATTAAGGTGCAGTTTATTAATAATGGCAGGGAAGGGGGACTGCAGCTGCATTTGAAAAAAAATCCTCTTTATGTATGGAAATCATCTGTAATCAGAATGAACCATAGCTAGCCTTATCTTTGAGGGTTTTTTCCCATTGAACTACTGCAGTATTGCTGTTTTTCCTCTATACATGATGAAAAACTGCCCAATATATTCTAGTACTGCTAAGATTGTGAATCTCTGTGTACGCTGCCGTCAGACTGATGCTGTCCTCTTTACAAGGTTGAACTAGGCAACCAAAGAATTTTTTCCTTATAAATTATCAGAAGGATAACTGTCAAAATGAAAAGGAAGAAATAGTTTGGCAGGGGATTTGTTTTGAATGAAGTCTCATAGATGATTTTTGCTCTAACAAGACAGCAGGATTATACAGTCTCACCAGGGA